TGCGCACGTGCTAGCGAATATTCTTACTTTCGCTGCTAATCTGTTTGAGAGGTACGCTCACCTCGAATTCACGACACTCCCGTCGAGTATTGGAGACACGCTCGCCTCCGATAATACGTAAGAGCACGTTCCCCTTTTCTTCATTTGTCAAACGCTGCGACCGAATTGCGGAGCACGCACGCACCCGTCCTTATCGTCTCGCTTCTCTAACGGTACTCTCTACTCGAATCTTTTCATATCGCGAACTCATTATTCCCGGTTATCAGCGCCCTCCCGGCCTATATGCCGGTGCGTGTACTTCGGGAGTAATCGATTATCGATCTAGCCGAAATATCGACATCGAGTACACTTAGGTATTCTATAGGATCTTACATAATTCTCATTATGTGATATGATTTTCTCATGTTTATTTTAACGTAATTCGAAGGATAGTAACTCGTCAGGTAATAGTTTGAATCCAAAGACATACAAAAAAATGGATAACAAATTACGTGTTAAAAAATCGCGGGCATTGAAAATAGCATGCATTGCAGAAATTGAACAAATTAAAACTATGAGTTTAACTAATTTGCAAGTTACAAACACAAATAATTATCGTGGTAAGTATATTTTCAAAATAAAATTCATATAATATAAATTCTTAAGATTTATACATATATACATATATAAAGATTAAATTGTTTTTACAGAGAATAACAAATGTCATGATATAACACACGAACACATCATTGAATTTGATAACGAACTTGATTTTGTGCAAAATAGTGTGATTGCAAATAATACTTGTGACGATCCTACACGTTTCTTGACTGAGGACATTGAAACAGCAGATACAGAATCGTTAAAAATTAAAGAATATTCTACAGTTGATGAATTACGTCGTTGGGCAGTTAAATGTAACATTAAACATAATCATCTAGATAAACTTTTAAGCATATTGAGAAAAGATTTAATACCTGATTTACCGAAATCTTCACAAACTTTTCTCGAAACATCAAAGGCTACATACAAAATAATAAACATGGAAGATCACAATTCCATGTACCCAAATAGACAATTTGTTTACTTCGGTATAAAAACGGGCTTAAAACAAAAAATCAATAAAGAATTTAGCCAAAATATTATTCAGCTTTAAATTAACGTAGATGGTATGCCTATATCTTCTTCTGGAAACAAATCTTTTTAGCCAATCTTATGTAAAATACATTATTGTCCAGATATATATAAACCATTTATTGTTGCCATCTATTATGGACAAAGTAAACCGAAAGATTTGAATAAATATCTCGAATCATTTATTGCTGAAATTAATAATTTACAGCAACATGGAGTTTGTATAGAAAATCGGAATTATAAAGTCCAATTATTAACATTTATCTCAGACACTCCAGCCCGAGCTTTTTTAAAATGTACTAAAGGGCATGGCGGGTATAATGCTTGCGAACGGTGCACAATTCCTGGAAATATAATTAAAATAAAAACATCTTCCAAAGTAATTTATCCTGCTTTGGAGTGTCCAAAACGTACAAAAGTATCATTTTTAACACAAGAAGATCGTGGTCATCACATCGGTATTTCGCCTCTCATTAACATAATCCCTGAAATAGATTTTGTAAAAATGTTTGTTTTAGATCCCATGCATCTGTTTTTTAATGGGATTATGAAAAAATTAATAGATTTATGGATGAAGGGTCCATTAGCTGCTAAACTAACTCGACAACAAAAAATAGAAATTTCAGACAAACTTTTGCATTTTACCGCTTATATTCCTACTGAATTTCAACGAAAACCGAGAACAATTTTTGAATATCAAAAATGGAAAGCAACTGAATTCCGATTTTTTTTATTATACTGTGGTCCGATTGTCTTAAAAGATATTCTTTCATCGAAAATATATGATCACTTTTTATTACTTCATGTTGCATGTAGAATATTATTTAGTAATGAGCTCGCTCTAATTTATAACGCAAAGGCCAAAAATTTTTCGAAGTTTTTGTTAAGGCTATGCCACATTTTTATGAATCGCAATCTCAAGTCATAAATGTGCATAATTTATTGCATGTGGCTGACGACGTGACAAATTTCAATTGTTCTCTAAGTAAAATTAATTGTTTCCCATTTGAAAATGTACTACTTGGAGAAATTAAACGTGTTATTCGTACATCCAACAAACTATTAGCGCAAGTATGTCGTCGATTATATGAACAAAATGTAATAATGGATAAAAAATGCACGCATAATTGATAATAAAATACTTAAAAGCATAGTTCAAGATAACAAAATTTGCGTCCAAAAAGTTATATGGAATGGTCTCACAATTACAACTAAACGGCAAGATAATATGGTACTTTTAAATAATGGTTCAATCATGGAAATATTTTCTATGTACAATGATAAGTTTGATACATCTCTTTCAAATATTGTGATCAAGGGTAAAATCTGGACAGAAACAAAATCGATATACAAATATCCATGCAAATCAAGTTTTGTAAATATGTGGCGTCTTCCTGCAATATCCCATGTTGCGTCTTATCGCGTCTTATATTGATTTGAATGTTCCACGTATAAATTTTTATTTATGGTACTGTGCGATCTAGTGAATGCGGATCCTGCGACATCTACCCTAGGCGCGGGGTCCTATTAATATTGCGTTTTTTTGTTTTTTTCTCACCGCCAAAAGTATCAGTATCACGCAGAGAGTCGTTGCGGCAGGACGTAATAAAGCATTTTCGAAAGTGAATTAAGTTGTATCATCATTTGTTAGAAATAGCGTTCACATACGCACGCGACACAGTTTCGCAGAAGAATTATCAAAGGATTCCTCACAACATCCCAAGTTACTGGTACATATTTGTTAACATGCGTGTCTAATAAATTAGTTCGACTTGAACTTCCGTTTAACAATAAATTACGTAAGCAAAGTATATTCGTCATATCTTTTCTTCATTAATAAGACTTTCAAGATATAAATTTGTCTTTGTTATATATTGTTTATATATTCAATATCTATGTATCTCAAAATTAAATTTATTTTATATAATATAATAAAAAGTGAAACAAATGAGATGTTTCTTAGTAGTAATTAAATTATCTATTTGTTATTATCAGCGCAATACTAAATTTTTTTTACTTGTAAGTTAACATTATATATATAAATTATTTATTTTAAAAATGCGATTAATGAGTCTTTAGAAAAACTTTAATTAATTATTATATACTTGTTTGTATCAAAGCCTGCATTTCCAAATTAAGATAATATTAATATTTTTGTTATGATTTTATTAAATCAGCACTAATAAAGATTTGTTTATGCAGTATACTTAAAAAATAATCTAATTAGACTTATTTAACAACCTCATGTTAATTTCTCACATAAACTATTTAATTATAGGAAATAATATAATATTATAAAATCTTCTCATCTGAGATTTTAATGATATATATATTATTTTGACTTTGAAAGATTGTTAAAAAATGCTTTAACATTATTAAAACATTCTTTTTTAAAAATCCGTGTTAAGGCCTAATGAGTTAAACATTTTGAGAATTTACATATTCTTTAAATTACATAAAATATTAATAATATATGATAAGGCTTCGATTTGATAACAGTAAGATATCCTTTTTTATGGCATCCTTATATTGTCCTTACCAGGGCCAATAGCTCCATGACACTTACATTTTTAATATCATAATATTAATGAAATTTAATAAGGTCCCGGTTTGATAACAATAAAGTATCCTTTTTTATGGCATCCTTATATTGTCCTTACAGGGGCCAATAGCTCCATGACACTAATAATTTTAATCATGTAATATTAATGAAATTTAATAAGGCCTCGGTTTGATGACAGTAAAGTATCCTTATTATGGCATCCTTATATTGTCCTTATCAGGGCCAATACCTCCATGACACTAACAATTTTAATTATGTAATATTAATGACATTTAATAAGGTCCCGGTTTGATGACAGTAAAGTATCCTTTTTTATGGCATCCTTATATTGTCCTTACCAGGGCCAATAGCTCCATGACACTTACATTTTTAATATCATATAATATTAATGAAATTTAATAAGGTCCCGGTTTGATAACGATAAAGTATCCTTTTTTATGGCATCCTTATATTGTCCTTACAGGGGCCAATAGCTCCATGACACTAATAGTTTTAATCATGTAATATTAATGAAATTTAATAAGGCCTCGGTTTGATGACAGTAAAGTATCCTTATTATGGCATCCTTATATTGTCCTTATCAGGGCCAATAGCTTCATGATATTGGCCCTAACAATTTTCTACACGGGTACTGTTTTATTATCAAGCAAAATATCCGATATAAGTGCTGAAGAATGGGAAAATACAGAAGTCGAATCTGATATTTCCCATAAAAGCAGCGATTTGGAGTTAGAATCTTTTGTACCTACAAAAATTGTAAAGAAAAAAATAACAGATGGTATTTATTAATTATTTGTGAATAAATTTGTTGAAATCTTAATTTAATTAAAATCTTAAATTTTAAATTTATAACTATTACTTTGTAGATAGTGTTTCAAGCAGTTCAGATGAATCACCCAGCGTTTTCAGGAATAAAAAAAATTTTCCCACGGCACGTTTAAATAAAGAAAATGACAAACGCAAAAAAATTAATCAAAACACAGAAAAAAGTGTAAATACTTTTGAATATTTAAAATCACGCAAAAGACAAATAGAAAATAGTGGTGAGTGATATTTTTCTAATAAATATTTGAGATTAATTTTTATATCTATCCGTGAAAATTTTGTTTTACTATATATATAAAATATAAATAAATAAAAATAATAAAATAAATAAATAATAAATAATAATTAATAAATAAAAATAAACAGTTGCTGTAAATTCTTCATTCTAAAATTCCACGACTTTTCCCTGACTTTCAATAATATTAAAAAATTTTTTATGTTTGTTTGATTTGAAAACTATTTAAAAATCATTAAATATTTTGTTGAGCAATTTAACATAGCAATGTAAATTACTATTACTGTTGTTGACATTGCTTGAACTTAATTGTTAAGTTGTTAGTATTCCTTTATCTTTTTCTTTTATATGTATATGCGTACAATTCTTTTCCTCTGCTTACAATACAAAAAACATGTAAATATCGATTCTTTTTGATAAAAGCTAAATCTTGTTTATTGGAATCTCCGATTTGCTATTATACAAAGATTTACAAACTTGAAAGAACTATAAAAATATAAAGTCAATTTTAATTTTATTAATTTATTCACAAGTTTTTCCCTGATTTCAAGTTTTGTGGCAACCCTGATAAAATAACTTAATAGATATTCACGTGACATAACTCTTTTCGTTATAAATTGATTAGTTATATCAATTATATGCGATAGGTGAAAATTCTTCAAGTATACGTACAAATGATTGTAATACAGAATTTACTGAAGTTGTTGCCAATGCCTGCTATGAGGAAGTCAAAATATTATTACACAAAAAAATGGATAATATAAAAAAAGTATTTTATACGATATAAGAAAGGGTTTTGAAGAATTAAA